TAAGCAACCGAAATTTATTTCTGTCATTCTAGAGGTTGAAAGTCCAAGATCCAGGTTTGTCTTCTCCTAAGGCTCATCTCCTTGGCTAACAGATGACTGATGACTACCTTTTCTTTGTGCCTTCACATTGTCTTGTCCTGTGGAATTCTAGAAATCTGACAGCCTTCCTTCTTTTTGTCCCATCTCCCCTTTATTCAAACTGGAGTTTCAATCTCTTTTCCTGACTTCTATTGATATGTATGATTTAATCCATGAGTTGCACCTAAGATCTCTTTATCAGATAATTTCCCAGCCTCACTCACCCTTGGTGTTCTCTCCTGAGCATGTTTTCTTGTTCTTTACAGTATAATTATTCTGGCTCTGGTTCCTTTTTGCTTAGTGATTCCTTAATTTATTGTTCTTTTCTTGGTATTAGCAGCAAGGAGAAACCAGGCTGCACCTTTGCTTAGAAATATGCTGAGCCAAATATCCAGGTTCATCACTTTTAGCTTCTGTTTTCCACAAAAACCAGAATACAGTTGAGCCAAATTCTCCAGTTTCCAGTGTCATGCTCATTTCCATACATGTTATCATCAAAGTCACTTTAACATCCATAATCTAACCGGTCATCCCTTCAAGATGATGTTGGTTTTTTTGAAGCATGGGCCTGAAAACTTTCAGTCTCTACCCATAACCCAATTTCAAACCTACTTCCACATTTTTACATACTTATATACCAATACTCCACTCTAAGCACCAATATCTGTTAATATGTTAGGGCTGCTATAATGACATACATGCCACAGATGGCATAACAACCAATAGAAATTTATTTCTTGTAGCTTCTCACTGTTCTTCAGTAGGATGAAAGTCAAGATGTCTGCTGCTTTGGTTTCTCCTGCAGCTTTTTAAAAATTTTCTAAAGATTTATTTATTTGTGCATACAGACTGGGGTACAGGCCAGAGGTGCAGGGACAGTGAGAGGATTCACCAGAGACAGAGTGGGGAGCAGAACAGGCAGATCGATGAAGTGCACTGCTGAGGGGAACAGTGGGCTGGTCAGGAGAGGCTGCCACGCCATGTGGGTCACCTCTTGGGTGGGGATGGAACTCTGAAGTGGCTTCTTAGTGCTGTGCTTTAACCTGCTACTAGGGAGGGCCTTCCTGCAACCTTTTTAACTTGCAGATGACTGTTCTTGTGTGTCCTCACATAGCATATTTTTTGTGGGTGACGTATACTAGTCTCTGTCTCTTTTCTTGGCAGGACAACCAGTACTAGTGGATTAGGTTCCCGTCCTTAAGATCTCACTCATCCTTAAATATTTCTTTAAAAGCTTTAATTCTACACAAAGTCATATTGAGGATTGGAGCTTCAACATGAAAACATGGACAGTTCCGTCCATAATAATGTCTTCTGCCCCTTTCCTAACTGAATTGTTTACTGTGGAGGTTCAGAAATTCATCTTATATTCTGGATTCTAGTCCTGTGCAAATATTTTTTGGTAGTCTATAATTAGTGGTTGTTGTTTTTTTTTTTCCCCTTTCAAGAGGATTATTTTGTGGAGCAGTACTTTTTAATTTAAAAAAAACCCAGTTAATCAGTGTACCTTTTATGGATGGTGGTTTTGGTATCAAGTCTAATTATTTTTTACCTGGTTATGTAAATACTTTTTAAAACTTTTGCACCAGGTAGAAAGAAAAATAATTTGAGAACACAAATTTAGATCCTTTCTTTTGCTGTGGGAGATTTGTGAATTTATAGAAAAGCAGTTCATGTCCAAAAAATGGAGGCATGTTTAGTAATAGCAAAGTAAATCATTGGGAGCCACTTTTTTTTTTTTTTAAGATTTATTTATTTGTGCATACAGAACTGGGGTGCAGGTCAGAGGCTCAGGGGCGGCGAGAGGCTTCACCAGAGACAGAGTGGGGAACAGAACAGGCAGATCGACGAAGTACACTGCTGAGGGGAGCAGTGAGCAGCGGGCGGGTCAGGAGAGGTCTGCCACGCCATGTGGTCACCTCCGGGGCAGGCGGGAATCGAACTCATGCTGAAGCGGCTTTAGATTCTCAGTGCTGTGCTTTAACCCTCTCAGTGCTGTGCTTTAACCCGATGCGCCACCAGGGAGGGGGAACCACTTTTTAATGGATCTTCCTTAGTTTTGCAGTTCTTTTGCATAAAGGCTTTGATAGTTTTTGTTGTAGACTATCTTTTAAGGTTGTTTGTTTAGCAAGTAACTTTAGAATGGAAAAAATGTCTACCGCTGCCTACCTGGTAGTGTTATCTTACATGGTCATCCAAGCTGGGAATAGAGGCACGTTATTGAGTGCCCCTCTCTCATCCATCATAGTCTGTCACTGTCTCCTATTGATTGTAACTTCTGAGTAGTCGTTGGATGTATTCTAGATTTTCATATTTATCATTAACTGCTCAGATTAATTATCCCATTGTCTCACATGTCATTTCTACCTTGATGCTTTCCAATTTTATTTCTTTGTCTTTAATTTTTTAGAAGTTTGACTTTATTGTGTCATTATGTTTGTCCAGTTTACTCAATCTATGTGGTTTTTTGCCAAATTTTGGAAATTTTCAACTATTGCTTTTTTAGAATAGAATTTCAGCCCTGACCTCTTTTCTTTATAAGACAGTTTTAGTTGTGTTATAATTCTCAAATTTTGAAGTTATTTTGTTTCTCTTTGTCCTCAGCCTATTGTTTTCTCTGTTGTTCACTTTAATTAACTTTTTTAGTCTGTGTTCCAGTTTACTGATGGATTCCATCCTCCCCTAGGTATTTCTTTTGATCCCATTCATTATATAATCCTTGGTTCTTGTGTTTTTAAATTATAATGTTTCTACTTGGACTTTCTTTGTATCTTGTTTCTGTTTAGGCTTTACATTTCTTTGCTAAGACTTGCTATGTTTTTAAGATTTATTTATTTATTTATTCATACAGAACTGGGGTACAGGCCAGAGGCTCAGGGACGGTGAGAGGCTTCACCAGAGACAGAGTGGGGAGCAGAACAGGC